TAATAATTGCTTACACTTATATAGCGCTTTTCTGGACACTCCACGCAAAGCGCTTTACAGGTAATGGGGACTCCCCTCCACCACCACCAATGTGCAGCATTAACCTGGATGATGCAACAGCAGCCATAGTGCTCACTACACATCAGCTATCAGTGGGGAGGAGAGCAGAGTACTGTAGCCAATTCATAGAGAGAGATTATTAGGAGGCCATGATTGGTAAGGGCCAATGGGAAATTTGGCCAGGACGCCAGGGTTACACCCCTACTCTTTTCGAGAAATGCCCTGGGATTATTAATGACCACAGAGAGTCAGGATCTCGGTTTTATGTCTAATCCGAAGGACGGCGCCTGTTTACAGTATAGTGTCCCTGTCACTATACTGGGGTATTAGGACCCACATGGACCGCAGGGTGGGCGCCCCCTGCTGGCCCCACTAACACCTCTTCCAGCAGCAATCTTAGTTTTACCCAGGAGTTCTCCCATCCAGGTACTGACCAGGCTCACACCTACTTAGCTTCAGGGGGTTGCCAGTTGTGAGTTGCAGGGTTTTGGTGTCAGTCTGTTTCGGTGTCAGGCTGTCTATGGTGAAAGCGTGTGTCAGGCTGACTGTGGTGAAAGCGTGTGTCAGTGTGTGTTTCGGTGTCAGGCTGACTGTGGTGAAAGTGTGTGTCAGTGTGTGTTTTGGTGTCAGGCCGACAGTGGTGAAAGCGTGTTTCATTGTGTGTTTTGGTGTCACGCTTTCACCACCGCCAGCCTGACACTGAAACTGGTGAAAGCGTGTGTCGGTGTGTGTTCTGTCTTGCTGTCTGTGGTGAATGTTTCTGTGTCGGGTGTCTGTGGTGAATGTTTCTGTGTTGGGTGTCTGTGGTGAAAGCATGTTTTGGTGTCAGGCTGTCTGTGGTGAAAGCGTGTGTTGTAGTGTCAGGCTGTTGCAGAGTCACTATGTGTACCTCTCTGAGCCTTGCATCCTGCTTTCCTGTCAGGGATCTGGTTGATGAAGCAAAGGACTATCATCTGATGCCTGAGCGAAGACCACACCTCCCAGCCTTCAAAACCCGCCAGCGCTGCTGCACCACCATCGCAGGGCTCATCTATGCAGTAGGGGGACTAAACTCTGCAGGTACCTTGCCTTGCTAGTCCACCTTCAACCTCGGCATGCACTGTAGATACAGACTACATTTACATCCAGCTGCAGCTGGTTTTTCTGTGCACATTGATTAATATTAATTGACCCAGTGAAAAGCTGAAAAGCATTGGTCTGGCAAGATCTTGTAACTGTTTGACTCTGCAACATTGGTGTCGAATTGGTGTTGTTTCATACATCCATTTTGTAATTGCTTTATTCAGCTGAGAGTTGTGAGGGAGCCTGATCCTACCCTGACAAACAACCGGCACATGGCAGGATACAGCCTAGACAGGGCACACACGAACACACACTCACTCCTGGGCCAGTTTTCTCAGAAGCCAGTGTGTCTTTGGATTGTGGGAGGAAACCAGAGCACCCCGGGAAAACCCACACAAACATGAGGAGAACATACAAATCTCCACGCACCCCAGGTCAGGAATTGAACCCAGCCCCAGCACTGCGAGGCAGCAATGCTAACCATTTTAATTCACCATTACACTCCTTTTTAAGTAATTGTTAACAGTAAATGTATACAGAAATATTTTAAAGTTGATGAGCTGTTAAGATCACTAGGTGGACCAGCTACTGATGTTATACCAGAGCTCAGCTTCTAAGATATGAAAAGTAATGACTAAACCAAGCGATAAAAAACATTACTGCACAGCTCCTTTAAAGTTAGTCATAGCACTCCATGTATATATATAATGGAACATAGTAAATTCTCAGATAACTAAACTAAATCTGTAGTAAACTGCTAATAAACTTCAAGGTACAGAACAAGCCTGTTACACAATGCTGCAAAAGATTCATGAAAGCTTCAGGATTAAGGGGTCTGTATACTTTTCCAGCCTATTTTTCTTGTTTTTCATTTGTATTTACTTTTAAGAATAATTGAACACTTGTTTCACTTAGAGGTTGTGTGTTAAAATGTGTAAATAAAAGTAAAATAAATTCTCATTTTATGTTTTTTTTATTTCAGACGGTATAAGGCCACATAATGTGTTACTCTGGAAAAGTGTGTGTAGACTTATAAGCACTGTATGTATCCAACTCATGGGTGTTGCATTTTAGAAGTGGCAATAGTGTGTTCCTTCTCACATGCAAAGCATTTCTGGATTCTTGTGGATGAAGAATGCAACATGATATCACAGAATTAAATCATTATTTAGAATGACTGAGACTTGTGTTTTACGGTGACCTAGCAGTACAGTTGTAGACCCAGATTCTTGATCAGATTTTGGCTTTTTGCGTACTAAGAGAAGCAGCAAATTTCTATGCAGGTGACTCCCTGAACGTGGTGGAAATGTTTGACCCCATTGGCAACTGCTGGGAGCGATGTCAGCCAATGACGACCGCACGCAGCCGGGTGGGCGTGGCTGTGGTGAACGGGCTTCTCTACGCAATTGGAGGGTATGATGGGCAATCCCGGCTCAGCACGGTAGAGGTGTACAACCCAGAGACTGACATCTGGACACAGGTGGCCAGCATGAACAGCAAGCGCAGGTAAGGGCAAGTGAGAATGTGAGACAAGAGGGAAAATTCTAGACTGTAAACTGAGGCTTCTGAATTCCTCCCAGGTGTTCATCAAACGAGGAATATAGAACAAACCAACCACTCTATACCAATTTGGGAAAACAAATAAGAATTTACTGCAGTTCTGTTTTGCTGAGGACAAAGGAAAACTGTTTAATATTTCACTTTTACAGATCTGTCTTTGAAACAGCAGAGCCGTCTATGTCTTTGAAAAGCAAAAGATGCAGAAGCATTTTTGGAAAGTGGCTGACTATAGATGTGCTGTACTCTTTATGTAGCACTTGTTTGATAAAAACATAAAACACCGAAATGTTATTTGAAAAATCCGTTGAGGTACAAAAAGTATTTATCCTGCTTTTGTTAAATAGCTTTGGTTATAATAATTGGCTAATTTAGTTCAGATTTCTTTTTAACGTATATTTTTAAAATTTGCTCTCACCTCTTAAAAAAGTTGAAGAGGATTTGTTATCAGCATCAGATCTGTACCAGTTAATGCATTTCAGAAATTACATGTTTAAGTGAGTTAACTGAGATGGAAGCAATTGGAACTCCACAGAAGGAAATAACAGCTAACTGTGGGAGTGTTTAATACATTATCATTCCCATTTGTGTCTCTGCGTCATAAACTGAACACCTTTCAAGGGCTGTTCAGACAGATATAAAAGAGCAGGCTCTGTGCTGAACGAACTGGAACATTACACATGAAGGAAAGTGTTTTTGAGTGCAAGAACTAAGCGCAGAAACAGGTAAATATAATAGAAACATAAACCTAGACTAGCAAATCCGTGAATTAATGCAATCAGTTTGTACCAGTAATTTACTGATATTAGATGGGTTCTTATATTGTTGAACATGTAAGATAGTTTTAGATAATCAGAGATGTCTAAATTATTTTATATTTAGACTCGAGAAATAACTCAGTGACTGAGTAAGGGATGTTGTAACTGCTGGACATAAATACCCACAGGGAATGGCTTAATAGTGGTCTGATGGTTTCAGTAACTGTCTGGCTTTCATTACCATGGTGACTGGTAGCAGTGTAGTGCTGTGTGAGGGGACATTCCTACACTATAATAGCGTGCAGTTTGCATCAGCTGTCCCATCCCCTCTCTCCCCAGTGCGATGGGCACAGTGGTAGTGGATGGGCAGATCTATGTATGTGGAGGCTACGATGGCAAATCTTCCCTCAACTCCGTTGAGTGCTACTCTCCAGAGGCAGACAAGTATGGACATTCCATGTCATTACCCTTATATTTTTTTAACTTTTTACTTTTTTTTATTCCTGTTCTCCTGTTTAAGTATAACTGGCAGCACGTACTTCACAATCATAGTGAAGCTATGGATCTTAGTTTTATTTTTAATGATAATAGTTATAAATGCACAAAGAATGACAAAATAGACATTTGTGTATAATTAACCATTTTTAGGAAGTAGTATCTCTAATTCTTTTATGTAAAAACAGAAGTAAGTCACATGACTGAAAAGTATTGTGTTTAATATGATAGCATCATTACTCCTATGTGTAATCTGTTAAATTCAGATTAATGAGTTAAGTGCCCCTGTGTTGCTGTCATCTGTGTCTTGTAGGTGTAGGTATTGGTGTCATACAACGTGTTTTAAATTGTGGAGTTCTGATCATAACCATACAGGTGAAATACTGGATACAACCTAGAGGGTTGTCATCATTCCTGATCTGATAGATGATCAGAGGATCAAATAATAATAGGACTTAGGGTAGGTCAGGGATGTGTGAGCCATTTACTGTCACACTAAAGTTTACATCTTTTATAATCACATAACAACAGGTTCTAATTTACCATCACCATACCATTGTGTGCCTGCAGGTGGACAATGGCGACCCCCATGAACGCTAGTCGTAGTGCAGCAGGGGTCACAGTGTTTGAGGGCCGGATCTTTGTCTCTGGGGGACATGACGGGCTGCAGATCTTCAACTCGGTTAGTATTACTCTGAAGAGTTGGTCTTCTGCAGCAGAATCACAGGTGTTCAACAAGCATGTAGCGCTCCGCTTAATGCTATTTACTCGATGCATTATAGTTCCCCTTTAATGCTATTAAAAAATAGTCTTAACATCATATTTAGTTCTAGCCTTAATTCCAACCATACATGGTAACCCTGCACCTAATACTGAGGCTAGACCTAACCCTAACTAGCTTAACCATTGGCTTGTAACGTCACTCTAACCCTAGCTTTTACCACAAACATTACTGTACCTAACATTAATCCTACCCACAACTAAAGCCGCAACACAAACCAAAGTCTTAGCAGCAAAACTAACCCAAACAGTAACCTCTCAGCCTATTAGTTTAACCTCTCACCTTTTTACTTTAGTTTAAATTCAGGTTTAAGATTAATACACAAGCTAGGCTAATTTTAGATCTTGGACTGTGACTGGGTTAGGGGCTAGTGCTTATCTTAATCCTAATTTTTACTCTAAACCTCGTTTTAAACCCTCACCTTAAGTCTACCCTTAACTAACTGTATCTGTAGTACTATTTGTAACCCTAAATTTAACCTTGCCAATTACTATCCCCATTTCTTGTGGTTCTCATCCCTGACCTTATGGAAAATGTAGTGAAATCCTTGGTAAAACTTAGATAAAGGAGGTTGAGACAAAATCTTGTGACGATCGGGAATTTCTATTTTGAAAAAGTTAAGATAGCCAAATGAAAGTAAGATAAGACAGTAGACAGATTGTCTCTGTTTCAGTATAACTCCTTCTCATAATTCCCTTTTGTTGCCTGTAGGTGGAATACTACAACCAGCACACAGCCTCCTGGCACCCGGTGTCAGGGATGATGAATAAGAGGTGTCGCCACGGCGCAGCAGCTCTCGGGAGCAAGCTCTATGTTGCTGGGGGGTATGACGGCTCAGGGTTCCTTAGTGTGGCAGAGGTGTACAGCTCAATCGCAGACCAGTGGAGCCATCTGGTGGCCATGAACACACGACGGAGCAGGGTCTCATTGGTGGCGAACTGTGGGCGGCTGTACGCAGTGGGCGGCTATGATGGTCAGTCCAACTTGAACTCTGTGGAGATGTATGACCCTGAAACCAACCGCTGGACCTTCATGGCACCCATGGTATGCCATGAAGGGGGTGTAGGGGTAGGCTGTGTCCCACTTCTGCCTGCCTAGCCCCTGTTCAATTACCCACTCTTTTAGCAACGGGTGAAGCGACTTCCAAAAAGATAATTCCACAACCAGTTGTGTTTCTTGGAGAGGATATGGGGAAGAAGAACAATGGAGTATTTAGTAAGGTTTTCCTTTTTGTTTTTCTTGGAGTTCGCAGACTCAAAGGTGTGTGTCTGGAAACGATGCAACACAAAACAGACACTGAGGATGGCACAAAGCACAACTCCTCGTCCGTCCTCCTCCGCTGTGGGGTGGGAGAGGGGATGGAGTCTGGACCGTGATCTGGGAATTGTAGGTCTTTCAGTTTGTTTGTCCTCCAATACTTCAGTCCAGATAACTGCTGGGCGATGGCAGAGATCACTGGCACAAAGCCTCTTTACAAGTGGCTATGAACCAGAGGTTTTGAGTTCATTCTTTGTTGGAGAGCCTGAAGTTGGAAACTAGACACTCCTCTCAAGGAGAAAGATGGATCATGGCCAAACTGACCTGATTTAGGATGTTCAAGTGTATTAATAATGAGCTAAAACCTTCCTGTCTTTTTCCACATCCTTGCTTTCGTAAAAAAAGAGTTAAAATTCCCTTGTTAGATGGCTTTTAATCTTTTTATTTATTTTACAAGGTGCTTGAATTGTTTTGTAGCCTTGAAACTGCTCATTTCCATCTTCCATTCATTCAGCATGGGCAAATATTCTCAGTGTATAAAGTACATGTAACAAGGGCAATCAAATCTCTGTCTTCTATTCAGTGACAGTTCTTTAGTAAGAATTTAATTCTAAATGAGTGACTGACCAGAGGAAATGATTAGAGAAAATTGAAATCTGTACACATTCTATGTTCTTCTTGTAATGGAAGAGTGCAGTTCATTTACACAAGTAGTGTTTTTTTTTAGAATATTTACAGCTCTTCAAACAAATGACCCCTTGATTTTAAGTTGAGTTTCAATCCATTCATGGTGTAAAAGCCTCCACTGACAGTTCAGAATGAGTTATAGTCTACCATGTTCTTGTTCATATCCAGGCTATGTTATTGTCCAATTGTGATCCCATAGGACTTGACCTGCAAATGATGAGCTGCTATATTTGAATGGGATGGAATCATCTGAAGGATCTGCTGTTCATTCTGTGGCGATGAATCCTGTCCTTTTGCATTTGTCTTGCTGCTGACACGCAAGCCCTGTTGTTGCTTCAGACTCAGTAGAAAAAGATGTACAGTAGATGCATTGATGCTAAAGGTATGTAAAGCTTTGTCTCTGTTCAGACTGCCTCAGTGTTTGGAGTGTAATGCTTAAATTGTAATACTTAAATACTTAAATTGCTGGGTCTAAAAGGGTAAATACATTATTGACAGTTCCTATTTAAATTAATGTAAAACATTACTTTTCAGGGCTGACGTCTGCTAACATGACATTAATTTTTTAAGTGTGTCATTCATCTGCAGTTACTTTGCAATTCAAGTTGATTGTAAATGGAGCAAAACATTAAGTCCAGTCTCAAGTGTCCAGTAGCCATATCAGCCTGCAACTCACATCTGGCAACCCACTGAAGCTATGCAAGTGTGAGCCTGGTCAGTACCTGGATGGGAGACCTCCTGGAAAAAACTAAGGTTGCTGCTGGAAGAGGTGTTAGTGGGGCCAGCAGCAGGTGTTCACCCTGCAGTCCACATGGGTCCTAATGCCCCAAAATAGTGACGGGGACACTATACTGTAAACGGGCACCATCCTTTGGATGAGACGTAAAACCGAGGTCCTGACTCTCTGTGGTCATTAAAAATCCCAGGGCATTTCTCGAAAAGAGTAGGGGTGTAACCCCGGCGTCCTGGCCAAATTTCCCATTGGCCCTTACCAATCATGGCCTCCTAATAAGCCCCCTCTATGAATTGGCTTCATTACTCTGCTCTCCTCCCCACTGATAGCTATTGTGTGGTACACAATGGCACACAATGGCTGCCGTCGCATCATCCAGGTGGATGCTGCACATTGCTGGTGGTGGAGGGGAGACCCCATTACCTGTAAAGTGCTTTGAGTGGAGTGTCCAGAAAAGCGCTATATAAGTGTAAGCAATTATTATTATATGACCAGGTCTTCTGAATTGCCTCACATCTGCGTGTGGTAGTGGAAAAGCTGTCAATTTCTCTGTGAACTTAGTGCCCAACCGTTGCAGGGGTTGTTTCCCTGATATATAAAAAATACAAGCAAAATTGATGGGTTAATGGGAACTAAGTGAAAATTCATGAGGATAAATAAATAAATGTAATAAATGTAAAATTTCTGCTGTGTTATTTAAGAGACAATGTGTCCTAGCGTGTTATGGGTTATGTATTGACTGAATATTGAAAGAACAGTGATTTTGTGGAACAGGGAACTGCACACAATGGAATTCTAATGAGAAAATAACTACTGTGAAGTTCTTACAATTGTTATGATTAGCATTGTTGTTTCAATCTATACATGTATTATGTGCTGTTATGATAATTACTCATGCTAATATTGTTAATGATTTATTTTAATTTACTACAATTCCTGATTTTTACTACTCTTGTTTTTGGTACTGTACCTCATATTTCTTTATTTATTTTCTGTTGTACAAAATGGTTTTGAATTACCATCATCTTGTTATAACGTATTATTATCATATTCTTACTACGGATGTTATTTAAGTGGTTTATCATGTATCTGCTTCCCCCAGTCCTGTGGCCTGCACCTACCTCCTGGAGACAGGATTGTACAAAGGTGATAGCTGAAAATTAAACCAAAAAAAAGTTCGGCATTCAAGCACTTATTTCAGTGAATGGTTCCAAATCACCAACTTTCCGTTGTAGAAATAATTAACTTGTAAATCTGAGCCACACTGCTGTAGTGCTTTCCTGAAAACAACTGATGTTATCATAAAAAACAAAGATCGTAACAAAAGTAACCAACGTATTTACATTCTAACTTGTATGTGCTTTCTAACCTCTAAGATTTGGCATAATACCAGAAAGCAAATAAATGATCAAAACAGCTTCTTCTCTACTGGATTGTATCATCAGTTTTTCAATTCACTCCATTCCTCCAGCTCTTCTCCATTGTCTGGCTGTCATGTCTTATCCCACATACTGTAGTTATTGGGTTGAAATTATGGAGAAATGTTGGGCCAGTATGTATCACTATAATGTTTTTAATCTCTTTCTTTTTGCCTAATATTTATTAATGTTTTAAGACCAGCATCTGAACTAGTTTATTTGCTATCAAGATGCTCTCTAAACTGATGTCCTGTTTCATGTCACATGCTAGTCCTTTTTTAAGCATGCCCCCCCAGCCAGTCCCAAAAGATTCACAGAACCATCTACCCTTCTTTCTGATAAAACAGTTTCTGACAAATAATTTGGCCATTTTCAATTTGTTCCAACTGCCACACTTTCTTTTTTCAACAGTTTGCTGACCAGTTGAATTGATTGCTAATAAAGGCCAAAAGGTCCAACACATACTGTACTATGTATCTGGTAAAGGGAAATGTTGTAGTTCCACTAAGCAGGGTTGACAAATACTGGGCCAGGATGCCATGTAAGCTTACATAAACCGTATTTTCCAAATCAGAAGGTTTTTTATCATCTTGAAGAGAGGAAAAAAACTTCAATACAACTGGTCACAGAACTAAGGATGGTGAATTTTATAGTTCTGGTTTTATTGGCTTAAAATTAGAAGTAGAATTGCACAATTACAGAAAAATACTTAATGCTGACAGGCTTTAGAAACACAAAATGAAAATTGTAACCATTAGCATTTGTTGCATTTTTAATCCATCTCCATTCACAAACAGTAACTAGTAACCAAAAACCTTGGAAAGTGGTCCACCCATCCATTATCTTAACTGCTTTATCCAACACAGGGTTGTGGGGGAGCTGGAGCCTGGCATGCAAGGGGCACAAGGCAGGATACACCCTGGACAGGATGCCAGTCCAACACACTCACACCAGAGCCAGTTTTTCCAGAAGCCCATTATTCTACCAGTATGTCTTTTCACAGTGGAGCACCTGAAGAAATCCCATGTAAACGTGGGGAGATCAAGCAGACAGCATGGACCCACTGTACCACCACGCCGGCCCCATTTTCGAACTGCTTCATCCAATTCAGGGTCGCTAGGGAGCCGGAGCCTATCCTAGTAAGTCAGGATACACCCTGGACAAGATGACAGTCCCATCACAGGGCACACACCTACTGTATACCAGGGCCAGTTTTCCCAGAAGTTAATTAACCTGTCGTTGGACTGTGGCAAGAAACAGGAAGCATGGTGAAATAGAATGTGAATATGGGGAATATATATTATAGATGCATAATATATATTCATTGGGGAAACAGGAAGAAGACTTGGACACTGCTGCAGAGAACATGTTAGAGCTGTGAAGATTAAAGATTTCTCCAAGCCAATTGTTTCTCATTTCACTTCTGACAGCCATGATCACAGTAATCTCTCTGTCTGTGTTCTCAAAGATGGTTTTCCTAACTCCTACATCAGAAAGACTATAGAAACTAAAATTATCCTGCAGCTAGGATCACACCTTTCCCCTTCTCTCAACGATAGACTAATGTTCTTCTACATTCTCTCTACTCATTGTAGGTTTCATTTCAAACCTCTCTACACCTGTCCTGACTTCACACTACCTGATTGGCCACTGTGTTTGTCCCCTGCTCCCGCCTCCCACTCCTCCTCTCTCCCAGCCTTTGTTCTCCTGCTACATTACCTTTGCTTACTGCTCTGTCCATCTAATAATGTTAATAATAATAATAATAATCTCACACCTGAAGAAGGCTCCACAGCCGAAACGTTGTGTTTTCATTTTCTCTTTTCAGCATGGAATAAACCTATTACTTTTTGTTCTATGTTATAGATGTAAATCTAAGAATTTTTTATCAACAGAGGATACCCCACCCATGTTATTGACAGGACTCTCACCCAAGCCAAAAACAGCCCCTGGACCATTAATTCCATCAGGAACCCTTGGCCTAACAACTGCATGCCTATGGTGCTTCCCTTTCACCCTAACACACTTTCTATCCCCAGGACCATTAATGACAACTTTTCTCTTCCTACAGACTGATCCCTCCTCTGGGGCCCTCTTTTCTGACCGCCCCTTCATCTCATATCGCCGACAAAACATTTTCTCATACTTTTTATTCTTTAAATGCAGTATGATAGCACAGCATTAGGTCATAAAAGGTTAAAGGTCTCTTCAACGCTGAAGGCCTTCCTGCTTGAAATAAATATATAAACTAAATCACGTCCGCGTAAAAGATTATGTCGCTGAAACACCCTCTACGTTTTGCATTCTGTGTGTAGTTGCGAGAGGATTCCTAAGCCTTGAATACAACTGTTCTGCTCAACAGTGTCTCAGAACAGCCGCAGTGGAGGTCCGCGAACATGAAATCTGCGCTTTTTATCTGTTTGCTGGGCATCGCAATAACCTTGGCTTTTGGTGCTTCCGCCACCGATGGGAGATCAAAAAAGGTAAAGGCTTAAACAATATTTAAAACAAAATAAAAATATTTTAGACCTTGACAGAAAATACTAAGTAGCTTCCTTCACTAAAAAAAACTTCTGGTTGTTTTTTTTACAATGCTGATACGTGATGTCAGGAAAAGAGCTGTTTATTCCCAGTTGTGAAAAGCAAGCGTACTGCAAATAAAGTTAAAAAAGTAAATATTTAATATATAAATATATGAAGTCTGTACTGAAAACGGTAGGATAATCAGAGTATCTTTCAGTGCGTAATTGATCTGTTTACTTTCTTACTGTGAAGCCTTTTGCAGCACAGTACAGATCGTTTTCACATTGTTCATTTCAAAATATATTTATAGGTGAAGGAGGAAATAAAGCAAACCTGCTAGCTGTAAGTTTGCATACAGTACTGGCATTAGCCAGAAGTAAGAACCAAAAATCAGACATAACCATAGGTTAGCTACAAGATTACATTGTCTGGGTGAAATATTCCACAAAAAATGATACAATGTAATGACACCCTACGTTTACAAGGATTTTGTGGTGGTTATCATTCTACAACGCTGGGAAGTCAGTTTTGAGTCAGTTTTTTTTATCATTTGAAAGCTAACCAGGGCTGGAAGTTTTTTTTTATTTTTAAAAACACCCTAGAAGTTACATGACCTTTTGGTTCAAAGTAACAGAAAATTAATAATTGTTGTGGGCAAAATTAATTTCAAATTACATTAACATACTGGGGGTGGTACCTGCCTGCACTATTTCTCTGTTTCTTGTTAATTCTTTCTTAAATCAAATGCAATATTGTGCATGAAGTTGCATTCATTAGCAAACCCATTTCATACTGATCAGACAGACAACGTGAAGTAACATTTTTTTAGATATACCTGGCACTAATGTACAATTTGTGATAGAATAATCTGACTTGCATTATATGTGCTCAGAATTATTTTTTGCATTATCAGTTTTCCCATTTGTTATTTGAATTCAGTCTACCTATGCTTGTTTTTGCCAGCAGTAGCCTTGGTTTTATGAACACATTTAATTGTGTTCTTGATATTTGTTAACATTGATATGCAGCTGTGTTCGCAAGTTCAGTCACCCTGTTCCATTTGGAAAACATCAGTGCATCCAGAGATCTTGCAGAGCAAAGTCTTTCCTTAATCACTCACTGTTCTCCTCTCTTCCTCTCCTCTCTCTCGAGTTCAGTGTCTAGCACTATATGTTTTCTTTCTGTTTTTCTTCAGCTGTCAATTGCATAACATCTTGGCTTTAGCTTCTGGTGTTTTCTTGGAACTTACTGTATTACTCAAGCTTTCAGATCTCAGGTTTATTCACCACAGTTGAATCACATAGCATTTATTGTGTAATACTAGCAGAAATTCCTTGACTCTCCATTCTTTTTTAGGACCCGTATTTTAGACAGTAATAAGAAGACAGTCAACAACCCAGGTAGAGATGTACAATGTTTGTATACTTAAATGGGATTTCAAAGATTTATGCTCCAAAGTAACATGTTTTAACAGTTTTCCAAATGTAGCTTTAAAGACGCAAATGTAGAAAACATCCAGCTCCTTGCTTGCCTGTCTGGACTCCGGTTCCCTCACAACCCTGATCCAGATAAAGGACTTAGAAAAAGGATGGATGTAGAAACCAACTGCACATAAATAGAGAACATGAACAGTTGAAGCTAAATGAATATGCTGCATGTGCAAAAAGCCAGGAGAGTTTTTTTTTACTTTCATTTAGTTCAAATGTTGGATTTATGAGTTCAAAATTACTTATCAATCTTTATCTTTACACATCTTTAAAAAATGTCTCTCCCCTGTTATATATCCCCTTATTCATTTATTCCTTTTTTTAATCGTATAGTGTTAGCATGCCCAAAGGGGTTAGGCAGCCAGTTGACCTTTGACCCCTAGAGGTTTTATTTCTCCTTACTAAGGAGCTTTTGGTTCCTCTCCTCCTTTGTTTTCTGGTCTTTTCTGTTCTGTATGGTCATTTTGCTTTGCTAAGCGCCTTGGGGCACCCTTTGTGAAAGGCAATATATAAAAATAAATTGAATTGAATATACTGTATATGGTATATACAATATATTATATACAGTGGGTATAGAAAGTCACCACCCCCTTTCAAAATGTTCACCCAAAAAGATAAATAAAATCAGAATTTTCCAGTTTTATTAACAAATTGTAGCTTGCAACATCCAAGTGAAAACAATTAATAAATAAAGAAGTAGAATAACTGTGTTGGATAAGACAACACCCCCCTGAGTTAATACTTGGTGGAAGCAAGCTTTAAATACAGCCTTGTGTGTGTTTGGATACATCTCTACCAAATTTTCACACTTAGAGGGAGGAATACTCCTTACAGAATTGTACAAGCTCAGTGAAACTGACTAGGCCACTCAAGGACATTCACCTTCCTGTCCTTCAAACACTGTATGGTTGCTTTGGCTCATTGTCATGTTAAAATATGAACCATCTTCCCATTTTCAACTTCCTGGCTGAGGGCTGCAGGTTTTCTACAAGAAGTTGCCTGTATTTTGCACCATCCACCTTCCCTTCCATCCTGACAGGTGTCCCAGTCCCAGTTGAAGAGAAACACCCCCACATGTTCTTTGGATAGTAAGATGTATTGGGTTTTCGCCAGACTTATCGTTTTGCATTCCGCCCAAAAGGTTCAATTTTGGTCTCATCTGACAACAGCAGCTTTTGCCACTTGGCCACAATCCTTAAGGTGCTTTTAAAGAGGGGGGAACTTGATTTACCGAAGGAAGTGGAACTGGTAATTGAAAGGGCGCACAGAGCGTTAGCGCCGAGACTTAAAGGCCCGGACGCCAAACCGCGTTCCATTGTCGCCACATTTTTAAGCTACAAGATGAAAGAGGAAGTGTTGTGTAAAGCTTGGCAAAAGAAAGAACTCTTCCACAATAACAAACGATTTTATGTGGATCATGATTACCCGCCGAGCAGTACTAAAAAACGTATGGAATATTCTGAAGTAAAAAAGGCTGAAATCGCAGAAAATAAAATTTTCCAGCGAGGTTGCGGGTGTTTTACGAAGACAGCACCTGCCTATACCATTCGGCAGCAGAAGCCACAAAGGATATGGCAGAGCGGGGTCTTAAAGTACAAGTTATACAGCCAGCGCCTACACTGGAAGAAGAAAACGAGCGACTGTTTACTTGGCAGAAGGCTGGAAGACGGGGTGGTCCTGGGAAAGACCAGTCCTTGAAACACCAATATCATGAGAAATTACAGAGTTTCAGGAGAAGACCCCCCTCGCAAGATTGAAGAAATTTGATACAGTGAGTTGTTAAAAGTTGGTCGTGATTTTATAGTTAAGGGTTTTTTAAAAAAAATAAGTTTCCTGCGATGTTTTAAGAGAATTTGTAAATGTCGGGACAGATACTGTACTTGGTGATTACGACCAGAGTGACTTTTTATTTTTCTGGTTACACTCCTTTTTTTTTCTCGTTATAATATAAGTTTGGATTTGCCACCACGCCACCTGCTTAAGGGTCCTCCTCCAGAGGAGAAGGAGGATTTCTCTAACGGATTTCTCTAACAGAAAAAAAGGAGAGAAGCCCACATAGGGTCATTTGAAAAGAACCCCACAGTTGGAAGAAAGTACTGTGAAAGAGACAGAGATGGGTACAGTTTTGTTTAAGATTGTTTGGTTAATGTTTTTGTTTATTGTGTTTTTTGATTGTGGTGCATTATTAGAAAAAAATGATAGGAAGAGGATGTTTAACAATATGAAACATATGTTGTATGGGACCCTGATCCCGTTTTACCATTTACATAAAATATGTCCAAGCAAGACCTTAAAATAGTTACATTTAATGTTAATGGAGTACTTAACCCTATTAAGAGAAGTAAGATTTTGTCTAAAATGAAGAAAAAAGGGGCTCATATTGTTTTTTTTACAAGAAACACATTCGAGTGTATTGGAACATGAGAAATTAAGGAGAATGGGTTTCTCAAAAATCTTTTTCTCCTCATATAAATCTGGCCATAGAAGAGGTGTGGCTATACTGATATCTCAAAAGGTTCAATTTGAGTTGCTTACAGAAGTTAAAGATAAGAAGGGGAGATATGTATTAGTATTGGGAAAAATTGAAGGGGAATTACTAACATTACTTAATGTATATGCTCCACCTGGTAGTGATTTTAATTTTTATTAAAAAATAGTCGATTTGATGGTTAATGCACAAGGGATACTGATTTGTGGAGGTGATTGGAATGTGCGTCTTAACCCCAGGCTTGATTCTACAAATATATCTTCTCAGAGAGATAAGTCACTGCATAAAAAGATTAATGTACTGATGGGGGAAATGGGAATAATAGATCTTTGGAGAGATTTCTATCCAAGTGGGCGGGATTACACTCACTATTCCTTCCCTCATTTGGTATATTCAAGGATTGATTATTTTTTTATACACAAGAGAGATAGACATAGGATCCAAGATTGTGATATTGATAGAATTGATTTTTCAGACCATACTCCTATGCCATTGTCCATACGATTAAGTAATAATCGGGGAGATACAACATGGAGGATGAACTCAAGTCTGTTAAACGATCCACAATGTAAAGAACAGATAAAACAAGAAATAAAACTATTTTTGGAGGAGAATGATAATGGGGAAGTGAGACCAGAATGATATGGGATACATTAAAGGCATTAAAGGTTATAAGGGGGGAAATTATTGCTTTGAGCAGTCATAAGAAGAAGGTAAAGCAACTACAATTATCTAATCTGAATATAAAGTTAAAAGAGTTGGAGAAAAAACATCAAGAAAAACAGGATTCAAAAATCATGCAAGAAATAAAGAAGCTTAGAAACAAAATAGATGTCTTATATACACAGGAAATTGAAAAAAATATATATTTACTAGACAAAAATATTATGAATCGGGGTCAAAATCACTAAAGCTGTTGGCAAGAAAATTAAAAAACAACAGACCGATAATACAATATATAAAATAAGGGACCAGAACTGTAATGGTGTATTATATAAATGGGAAAAAATTCAAAACACTTTTACAAATTATTACAGAAAATTATATACGCAACCCCATTCAGAAAGTGAAGAAAAGATGGATACGTTTCTGGAATCTCTCAGTTTACCAAATCTTACGGAAGATCAAAATAATATATTAAAAACGACTATAACACTAGAAGAATTGAATTCAGTGATTACGAGCCTCAGAGCTAATAAATCACCTGGAACTGATGGTTTTAATTCAGAATGGTATAAAACCTTCCGAGCTGAATTGATACCAAATCTTCTTTCTGCTTGTAATTCGCCATTAATTGATGGGAAAGTGCCCCCATCATGGAGAGAGGCTATCATCCCTAAGAAGGGGAAAGATAGATTCGATTGTGGATTGTTCAGACCAATCTCAGTCCTTAATGTGGATTATAAAATTTATACAGCAATACTGGCTAAAAGAATTGAAAAGATTCTCCCTCATTTGATACACTATGATCAAACAGGGTTTATTCAAAATAGACAAACCCATGATAACATTCGACACACATTGCATATCATGAACCATATTCAGCAACATAATTTAGAAGCTTCTTTGATGAGCCTAGATGCTGAGAAAGCTTTTGACTCTGTTAGTTGGGAATACCTCTATAGGGTTTAAGGTAGGTTTGGGTTTTGTGAAAATATTATTAAAGGTATTCAAACTTTATATGATAGACCAACAGCACGAATTAAAATAAATGATTATTTATTGAATAACTTTAGAACGAGGGACTAGACAAGGCTGCCCTTTATCTCCATTGCTTTTTGCTCTATATATAGAGCCACTAGCCCAGTGGATACGACAAAATAACAAAATAAAAGGTAATGAGCACAAGATAGCACTGTACGCAGATGACGTTTTATTATATCTGGAGGATCCCACTAGTTCATTTCTAAAAGTAATGAAACTCTTAGATAGCTTTGGCTTGCTGGCAGGCTATAAGTTAAATGTTCAAAAAACACAAATTCTAACTTTTAATTACAACCCTCCTGATTTATTAAAAGGCAAATACCACCTTAAGTGGGACCAAAGTTCAGTGAGATATTTAGGAGTCTAAAGCCTAATCCCCTTTATTTAGCTTTAGTTCTAGAATTGAATCTGTAAAAATGAATCTACTGCCTCGATTACTCTTTCTATTTCAAGCTCTCCCTGTAGAAGTCTCTGCAAAACAATTTTCGGAATGGGATAAGATAATTTCTAGGTTTATTTGGCAGGAGAGAAAACCTAGAATTAGATTCAAAACATTGCAACTTTCAAAAGATAAAGGGGGTATGGCTTTACCAAATTAAAAAAATTATTATTATGTATCTCAGGTTAAACCTCTCATTAATTCCTGTAATCCAGAATATCAAGACAGATGGAAAGATATTGAATTGTCCCTTGTAAATAGCCCCCCAATTCAGGCACTATTAGGTAATAGAAATTTAGACAAAATTGCTGAAAAAATATTTAATCCATGGTTAAAGGTTCAATTAAGGACATGGAATATGATCACAAAAGAGTATAATTTAGGTGAGGCAGTAAAGATACTCAGATGGTGCGCCTATGATATGGAGTTTAAACCAAATAAGTTGGATAATAGATTTAAATTTTGGATTACAAAAGGAATAACTGCATTTTGTAATATAACGGATAAGACTCAGCTACAAAGTTTTCAGTATTTGAATGAGAAACATAATTTGGAGAATTCAGATTTTTATAGATATCTTCAAATGCGCTATTATTTTAATAAGGGAAGATTTAGATATTGTTAATGATGGAGTAGTGAAAATAGTTGAAGAAGCCTACAAATCAGAATTAGGTAAAGGTATTATATCTAGATTATGTAAAAGTTTTATGGAAAAGAAATCATATTCTACAGAGTATATAAAAGATAAATGGGTGAAAGAAAGTGAAGTTAGAATTTCGAATGAAGAGTGGCTTAAAATTTGTGAATTTCAACGGAGATGTACTAACTCGCATTTATAGAGAGAATTTTGCTGGAAAAACATTGTTCGATTTTTCATTTCTCCGAGTCAGAAGGCGCATACTGAGGAAAACTCTTAAGTGTTGGACACAGTGCGGAAACCAAGGTAATCATTGGCATATATTCTGGAACTGCCCTAAAATAAGGCTTTTCTGGAAGGAATTACATTAGGCCCTGGAAACTAAATTTGAAAGGAATGTACCCTTTACATTTGAGGCTTTATATTTTGGTAAACTGGATTTTGATTGGAGGGGAATGGATGAATATATATCCTTATATCAGCAGGGAAGAAAGCTATAACAAGAAAGTGGCTTCTCACAGATCTACCAACAATGAAAGATTGGATTGAATTAATAAAAGAAATATATATAATGGAAGAAATAACATTTTCACTAAAATTACAAATGAAAAAAATTGTCAAATATTTGTCTAGATTGGTTCAGTACATTAATCCTTTAAGGTCAGATTTTGTTGAGATACAGAATAACTGAAATTATACTGAAAACTGAAAAAAGAGACATTTATATAGTCTACTCCCTTTTCATATTCATAAATGTATACATCTTCCTTCTTTTGAATGTATATAGTTTTGTTAAAAAGTTATATAATTGTAAAAAACTAGGGGAACCAACAGGAATTTGTGCCTGCAATGTAAGGCTGAATAATGGATGTTCATATGTAAAATGGTTTTGTTTTGTTCTCTACTATGGATACTGTGTGTAAATAAAAATGGAACAAGCCTAATTTAATTTGTTTTTTATTTTCAGAGTGTCATACCGAAAGGTACAAATTGTGAAAGGGGGTGGTGACTTTCTGTACCCACTGTATGTACTGTATAGACATCAGTAAAGAATAAATAATGACCATAATGACAAATCTAAGGAAACTCTATTGTATACCCTTGGTACCACACAAGGTTCCAATAATGTCTGTATCACAGGACTCAGTACTCTCCTCTGATATCAGTGTTAGGTTCTGCCGCAACAGAGGCCCAGTCATTTGGTTTCTGTGATGATGTACATGCTCAGAGCTCATGAATAACCACCAGAAATGAATACCTGCAGGGGGCAGAGACAGTTACCTTTCTCACTGATGCAGTGAAATATGTACGTACATGTTTGTATTTAAATACTTTTGCGTTCTCCTCCCCTTCTATTAAAGAGAAGACTGCCTGGAGCCAGGATACCACTAGAGAACAGTGGGGGCCTTGCAGAGGCTGTACTGGACAGTATTCAGGCTCAGAATGTGCAGGAGCAGGTGGAGTATCTCACTCTCTCTTTACTCATTTAGAGCTGAGTGACGGAGTCGTCCATTGTTCAGTCTGGGATTGCTAGGAGATGTTCAAAGAATGGACTGGATAGAGCTATTTTGTTGTTTTTTTATTATTTCTGTGTGTCGATTTTGTGTAGTCCTATTACATTGTATGTGCTGTAAGCAAGTGAATATATTTAGCTCCTAACTTAAAAGCAGGTTTCAAATCTCAATTGGGTACTCTTGCTGTTGGTTCTGATTTGGTGAAAGACTCACTTGAGTTTTAATATTTTAGCCATGATACATAAGGGACTTTTTTAATACGTCAGGGATCTCAGACTCAGTTCCTGGAAGTGCCTGCTTCAGGGTTCCAAGTCCTGGTCCTAGAGGCTGCTGTGTCTATTTAAGGGAGCAGCACCTGAAGGGCTGGAAGAAGCTCTTAAACTTGTCCAATCAGCCTTCAGGCCATTAAGAGCCCATCTGGGCTTACAACCTATAGAAACACCAGCCCTAGAGTCCAGGATTGAAGACCACTGGTCTAGCATCTACTACTGAATCTTTAATATAAAAAGTGCCCATTATGTTGTCCTGTAATTTCTCAATACTGTCTGTATTTTTGCTTGTATTTTCACAGTTACATCATACCAAACGTTGGTGTAGAGGATGTACCTATCCTTTGGAAGGTGATGGTAACCAAGCAGAAATGGTGCAGAAGAGAATCGAGAAAGTCCAAAAAGAGGAATCTGCTCAAACGGTACTGCACACACCCTTGAACTCAGAGACAGAGAACTGGATGCAACATTATATTCATAATAAATGTAACTGCAAAACAACATTTTTTTAGATCCAGACATGTTTTCAATTTTTTCTGAAGTTGAAACATCCTTTGGTTGCCAAAGGATAATTGGTCATTTTTCCCAATATAAATCCAAAATTTTAATTTCTCTACTCCATGGGTCTCCAGTCCTGTGTCTGCAGGTTTTCATTCTCACTCGGCTCTTAACAAGCTTAACTACGTGGTTACTGTATTTTCACAGCTTTACAAGTGCTTAAAAAAGGTCTTAAAAAAGACCTTTAAAACCTGCAGTCTCTCTGGCCTTCCAGGATTGGACATTCATGTGCGAATCTAAGTACCTGTACTAACTGCCCTTTAAAGCTTGAGGCTGCCACTTGAGCAGGTAATTGGCTGATTGTTCAGCCAGTGAGAAGAAGGCATTTGCCTGCATTCTGAGTCCAGTCAACCAGCCAGGTGAGCTGTCCAAGGAAGCCAGCATTCCGCCCACAATATGTAAGGCTATGCAAGGCCTGACAGTACAGTATATTGGCAGTACAGTTTTCCAAGAAAATCTTTCAAGATTATGGAAAACATTTTTTGTGAACTCTGCAACTGCTTTGATAGTAACTGGCGAGCATTTAAAATAGAATTAAATACATTCTTCAAATTTTTTATTAACTTGTTATTTGAGGGATGTTTCTGTCAATTGTGGACAATGGCTTAGTTTTCTTTTCAGAATTAAGCTGTATATATTGTATTGTGTCATCTGGTTAATCATCTTTCACATCTGTGATTAGTGTCCTTGGGACCTTTGTACCCATAAGTAAAAGCAGGGTTGTGTGCTTTTTAGCCATCATTCTGTGACGATGGGTATTTCTCCCAGTTACTCCCTCACCCCATGAGGCAAGGTGTCTCCAGTGTTTATCCCTTCGCCTTATGAGGCAGGGTGTTTCAAGGGTTTTCCAAACTCTGAGTGGCTTGGTTGAATCCAGAAAGGAGACTGAGCTCATTGTCACTTTGTCCACGCAGTTGAGACTCAGATGACTTGTAATGAAAGGAGCAATGTGCCTTGTAGTGAGCTCACCACTAGAGTGCAGTGTTTACCGCAGTATATTACTTTGTTGAAATATAATGGTAATATGGCATTATCCTCATTACCTTGTGAGTCTCTTGAGCATCCTGAGAAACAGAAACCAGTTTTTCTGAGAAAGAAAGATCAAATGAAAGCAGCAGTACAGTATGTAGAAATAAGAATTTCTGTCCAGAAACAGTTATCAGTAACAGAGTGACAGTACAGAAACGGATGTCTATTTGCTAGCCCAGTTTTAGGGGATGTTTTCTTTGCTTAACACCACTGGTCTCTTGGCATATGTCAATAACATAAGTTATTAGTTGTTTATTTGATTTTTTTGACAAGCTAGATTTTGTTTTAACTTGACAGAAGAATTCTGGTATTATAACCTTATATAACCTTCTCTATATAACCTCCATACAGTATATGCAGATAGAAAAATCTGCATATCCATGTAATAATTTCTTTTATTACTTAGGTTTACCCCCCACCCATCTCAAACATTTTAAGTGTAGCAAGAATAAAAATTTTAAAATGCACTTTAAGTAGTCTGATATTTTGAAATGGGGGGGTTTTGCAAGACAAACCCATATAAAGCTTTTTTCTCCTCAGTGGTTACTGGCTGACTTTGTGGAAACATACAATACAGTCTGAAGCATAAACTTTGGAACCATTCATCTCCTAAAATGTTATCGTCTAATTTATGAGTGGATATTGTTGTAAACTATCCTTTTGTGACATAGTTATTTAATATATTTTCAGAAAGCAAACTCTTCCTAACATGTACCAATACTCATAGTTTATGACATACATTTACTATACTTGTATACATATTTATGTCCATTTCTCTATAAGCTTAATTGGAAATTTTCTTTTAAATTAACTAAAGATTTGCAGTAAAGTAGAAAAACAAGTATCCAAATTGGTAGAATGCTCTACCAATAATCCTACAATTCAGGTTATTTTTAATAATCTCTCTGTTGCCTTGAAGCCTGGAGGTCAGGAGAGGTTTCTGTGTTTATTTTTGCAACTTTGTCTCATTGTCCTATTGTTCATGTCCACGATGGTGGTGGATAGGGTCCAGACCACTCCACAGCCATCCAGAAAAGGTCTGAGAGAAATGGACAACACTAACACAAACTGTTTAGACAGCAGGTACATGGGTGTGCAAGATATTAGAAAATATAAATAAATGAGATACTCCATGAAAATTCCTAACATTTACCAACCTTACATCTTAACATTGTCTTGAGGTCAATGGTTTCCATATATCTATGGTTATAAGACTTCATTAACACTAGTGTTAAGGCCCAATGATGATACAGAGCACACTAAAGCCTGTAGATCACAGAAACACTTCTCCATCTCTGGAGAGGACTCCAGAGGACTGTTCAGGAAACCTGTAGTCTCTAGGTGTGAGGTTTTCACTAGAGAAGTGTCCCAGGAGCCCAGTGTCTGTTGTTCACAGCTGTGTTTCTGTTCATCAGGTGACTCCAGACGTACAGGACGCAGACAGTAAGCAGAGAAGGAAGAGAGAAACGGTAAGAAGCTCTCAGCATGGCAGCTTCAAAGATCAGAAAATAACTAAAAATCATTAGGTCTGTGGCATTTGAATCTCTTCACATCACCCAGTTTGTTTCTTTTATTTCTATGTTATCTTATTTTCTCATTTGTGTTCAGTACAGTGTAAATGACATTGGCAGTTCCGCTTCCCTGCTAACACTAGACCTGTGGTGTGAGGCTCTTTAGATTAGTAATGTGGAGAAATATTGCATATAACTACAGCAGTGAAGTGAATTACTGTACATGAACAAGGAAATGTCAGGTCAGTAATGGTTTTTTCTTTAAAAAATCTTTTGATCTGTAAAGATCATTGTTCATTTCTGTTGATGGGCAGTGTAGCACTGATTGGCGATTGTCAAAGGATTAGGAGAGGGAGCCCCAGGATGGTGTTTAGATTCCCTGCCAGGGATTAAGCTGATGGTGTGGAGTCTTAGATGTCTTATATACAGTACTGCTCTCATTTGTAACTGTTCTTAGTATCATCACAAACTGGGATACATTTTAAACCTAAGGCACAGATTGCTGCTGGAGTAGTCAGCAATTTAATCATATTTCAGTTTTTACCACAGAGAGGAAAAACTGAAAAAAATGAAGATTTAATTTTATTTTATAAAAAGCACACGTGTCTCCTATTCTTTAGTAACTTCAATTTAAGGGTAAATAAATTTGATCTGAAATAAAAAGTAATCTTAAAAGGTTTCCTTAGTACATGATTTCTTCTATAAAGGTATGAAGGTACATACTGTATACTGTACAATTAAGCAAATGTTTCCCTCTTTTCCAGGGTACCCCATCCCTGCTGCCCAGCCCCTCAAACCCCCCGGTAGGTAACATTCGCACATGATGCTTTTCTGTTCTCTCAGTCTCTATTTGCACTTTAACTGGAGGTTCCTTGAAAATAACACAGATCTGGTAACTGGAATGAAGACAGCATGGCAGTAGAACTGGTCAGGCTCCACAATCCAGACGTCGATAGTTTGTTTGCAGGAGTGGAGAACAAGCTGCGCAGCTGTGTTATTGAAGCTTGTACCCTGGCCTCTTTCAAGAAACAGTTGGATGAGATTCTGGATCAAGTAGTGCATGGCTTTGGGAAAGCTTGTAACAGGTGTTTTGAACAGTGACTCTTAATTTATCATGTTCTTATTTTTAGATGACATTCAGTTATATCATCAGTTCATCCTCGGTCTTGATTTTTTATAACTTCTTATGAGTGATCCAGCCTGGGCTCAAAAGTTCCACCCAGCCCTTCAGGGTTATACATTGATTTAGTTGATCTGATTTTTTGGACAAAAGTTTAAAATAGCCAAACATACTGTAGTTTCTGGGTGTGCGGCCCCAATAGCATGGAGATGAAGCCCATATCTTATCCCTCTTGGCTCGTATTTATCTGAGGTACTTCTTATTTGGCTCAGGGTCTTCTCCTGTTCCTTTTTGTGTAGCAGTCTACATGTAGACACACTTCTACACAAGTGATTCCTTTTGCTTTGTCATCACTGCGTTTCTGTTTCTCAGGACTCCCGTGATGCCCAGAAGAAAGGGAGAGGGAAGCTAAAGGAGAGGGTAAGCAGCTTTCATGATCTTCGCACAGAAAAGTACACACTCCAGCCTGCTAGGCCTCCATCTGAAGAGAATTACATCTGCTCTAAAAGCACTGTGCACAGCACAAAGGATTACATTGTCCTCGAACAGAAGGACGTAAAATATATTTTTTACTTTCAGTACTTTTCTGACTTACAGTATTTACAGCCTGTAGAGGTTTAAAAGGAAGTTTTTTAGTGCCATAGGATGGGGTGTCTCTCAGTGAAAACACACTGCTGCCTAGATCACAGGCAGGACTGTCTTGGATAAACTGCTGTGGTCACCTGCCTCGGGACATGAGGAGACAATTCTTTCACTGACATTAGTATTAACAACCAGACATTACTAGGGGTGCAATTAGAATTTTGCTAAGGGGGAATGAGGCTTTGTATCATGTACTGTAACAGCAGTTCTGGGTGTAAAATGAGCTCTTGTATTTATTTATTTTTTCAACTGTAATGTTGTGCTATGTGACATGCTAATGAAAATTAGTAAATTGTAATTTAGTGACCATTTAGTGAGTGAGAAATACAGTTTTAGTTTTACTATATGTTAATATACAGGTAATATGGTATTATTGTGCTCTTTTTGTATTAGTCCATGAATCAAGTACATAATGTCTAAAAGAGTCCAGACACATCCACACACATGATTTGGAGAAACATTTCTTCAAATATCTTTGTGGTAAATGATATAGATGGGTTTCCACATAAAGTATTTTTCCCACAAGCTTCAAGAAAAACAGCAAACAACAAACAAGAGTGATTCAGCCCATTTTTCTAACCCCTGTATGATTATCCTGTTGTGGGGAGAAACTGCATTATACACTGTACATACAGTACACTATGAAGCTTATTGCTTATTACTGACACAAATTCACTTAGTTAACTGGAAAAGTAGCAATCTATTTTTGTAGAAGGTGCACTGACACATTATAAAACAGACATGACAACATTTGTCATTGACAGGGTAAACAACAGGGGGTCAATAGTGAAAGCCACAGGCTAGTTGTGTGTGTGCCCAATATTGGAAGCAATCTGTTCTGCATGCTTTACACTAGATTGCAGATGCTGTTTTGTGGAATTCTGACCTGTTCCTCTTAGACAGCCTGGACAAACATTTACCTGTTCACTGATTTCTGAGCTCCTGATGCCACATGTCATGCCAGCTTTGCAAAGTGAGGTCCTAGGATTTGATCAATGTAATGCTGTGCTAATGAGCATGTATTTTTTAATTTAAAGGAGGACTTCAATATGATTTACACAAAAATGATAGATGCTCCAACAGCAGTGGATTGACAGTGATTTGCAAAGGGTCATTTGTGTGGCCCAGGTCAGGCTTATAGGCCTTCTTGAGTGAAAAAGGGGGAAAAAAGGGGGTGTACCTAGTCCCATTTTTACACTTTTTGGGAGTATCCATATGTGGGTCTGTTTTACTGTTGTGGTTCTATACTGATTTTGTTCTCTTGAGGGAACCATAGAAAGGAATTGCCACTGAGGCTTTCAAAGTCTTTGGTTTTATCCAGGTTTTGAATAAAATATTATGTTGACAAAACCAAGAAGGATCTGGCTGCGTTTGCAATGCACTCTATGTACAGTAGGTGCAAGTTTCTTTTTAATCAATTGTATACCTTCCCCTACTCCATCAAAGGCAAAGGGGTGGAAAACACTGCGTGGAGACAGGGTACCACTAGAGAACAGCAGGGGCCTTGCAGAGACAGTACTGGAAATGATTCAGGCTCGGAAACAGCAGCAGCAGGTGCAGTATCTCACTCTTTCTTTTTACACATTTACAGCTGAATGAAGTATTAATCCATTGTTCAATCATGGTTTACTACAAGACATGATTGACAGTCTTGTTTTGAAGACTTTTGAATGTGGGGCTGCATTAGCTCCATTGCCAATTAAATATACTTTTCAATCTCTCTCCTGGCCTCTCTGATATTCTTTTTTACCTGTGATTACAATGCATTGTGTTTTCTTTATCTGGATCCTTTTATTTTTAAATAAGATTATAAAATGCTCCCATTTTTTTCTTTTCTTTCTTAAACCATTTGGAAAATTGTTGTTTAAATTACTTTTGGGATTAATTTGTTCTTTCCATTAAGAAGAATCTATTTAACCTGTTGCCATTTTCCACTGATTTCATATCAATCCCATTCCATTTTACTTCTTTTAACAGTGTCCCAGTCCCTCAAAAGCTTTCCAAAAATTAACAGACAAACTCTTCTAAGGGGGCCTTTGTCTGTAAAAGGGAGGTTCATGGTATTGAAATACAATCTTTAGCCAAACATATAATACTGAATTTGAAATGCAGTTTCAGATGGTTTTGGCCATTTTGTAAACACCCACCACCAAAGAGATAGAACCATTCCGTAAGCAATTGAATAAATTATTTCAAGTTGAAGGCATAATATTATCCCACCTGTATTATGCTGAAGAGACTGGTCTCTTCAGGCATTCACTCCCAGAAAATATAAAAGCATACCAAACATCTACGCCAGGATGTAAAATTGGGAAGGAGAGGACCTCAACTTTACTGTGTGAAAGTGCTGATGGCTTACACAGATTGACACCTATAGATGCCGGCTAGTCTCAGAGATAGAGGGTTCTCAAGGATACAGTGAATGAGCTTCAAGTAGTCTATTACCATTCCACAAAATGTTGGTTTAGTTTTTACATATTGTTTGCTCAAAATGCAAAGTATGACTCATTGGTAATTTAAAGCCAGCAATACTTGACACATAATTCTTCCTTTGCAGTAAAGTGAGTGCACACTGTACTGTAATACAACACAGTGTTCAATACGGTGTATTTATATAGACAGTACAGTGCAGTAATATATTAATAAATGGTACAGTTATGTATTTACATATACTGAAAGGAGATATATAGTACATACAACATACAGATGCAGCCATTCAAAATGCGCGGGGGATACCGCATTATTTTCCGGTGCGCTTTACGCAGTCTACCGCGAGTTACCGGTAAATACCGCTAGTTACCGTAAATTCTCCTATAATACCGCAAGAAAATAATAGTATCCAGAATTTCCGCAAGGTGGAGCTAATAAAGCTCAACCTCTCATGTTTGAGCTGTCGCCATCAAAGTCTTTAACGAATATATTACTAATAGT